ATATAATATGCATTTTTCCGATATGAATAAACACAAATATTAAACTTACTGTAAATACCGGATTTGTATTGAAAACATATTCAAGGCTATTTTTTTTAAAAAAATATATAAAATAAAAGAATTTATTTATTAACTTAAAATTTAAACTTAAATTTGTAATCTTAATTGTATCTTATTGAGAAGTTGAGATTTAGAAAATATAGTCATTTATATTTTTTTCATATTTGATATGAAAAGTTATATATGCTATTACATTTGCTATTTCAATCTACACCATCAATATTATGGATTGAACCAATAATACAACATACTGATGTCTAGGCGAGTATGAGTTCAAATACGGGTATTTAAAATACTGCTTCTTAATATTATTTAAATGGGTCTATTCTTTTGGGATATATAAAGACGATTTAAGACTTTAAATTATGGTGTATTTGATTTAGATTTTTTAACACTTTTAAAAATCTTGAAGTTTTAATTTGGAATTTTAAAAAGTCTTACAAAATCTAAAGATATTTAACTTATTTGAGACTAAGAATTGTTAGGACTTTGTAAGATTCGCTGAGATTTCTAAAGAAAAAACCTGGTACACAAGGATGTGCTTTGAAAAAAAATTGCTCCCTCTTTTAGTTAGCTAACCTAATCTCTAGTACATCATAGGGGTGTTCACGGTGCGGTTTTAAACAAAAAAAATTGTCAATCCGGACTGCGGATCGGTTAAATGGTCGGTTAAAAAAGCCTTAAAAAATCAAGTGGTTAATTTTTTTAAAAATCTAGAATAACCGGTCCGGTTAACGGATTACCTGTGGCAAACCGCCGGTTTAACCGGACCGGACCGATAAATATTAAAAAAATATAACAAATATATAAATATATATACATTCAGTCATTCATTATGGCCTACTGTTTAAAAAAAATTCACTATGGCCAACAAATACAATACATTCACTTTCACTTTTTGGTATTTTGTTGGCTTAATTTTATAAGACACTATAACTTTTTACATTTTCCCACCTTGCTTGTGTTAAGTTTGCAGAATTTAATCTTTATCATTTTTTTATGTTTATGTTTATGGGACGAAATATATATTTTATTCTTATGGGACGAATTGTGTATTTTTTATTTCATTATTGTTGTTTTTCTTAATTTTTAGGCCCAAATGATCTCTTTTGGGCCCATTATTGAAAAATAAAAATTAAGCCCAAAATGAAAAAAAATAAAAATTGAAGGCCCAAAACAAGGATCTTGGATTTAACCGGTTAACTGCCAAATCGGACCGTCAAATGCGATCCGGATTGTGGCCGGTTAAAAAATAAAACCGATCCGGTTATGGACAAAAAAAAAATTAACCGTTAGGTCCGGTTTGATCATGGTTTGGGCTAAAACCGGACCAATCCGAACTGTGAACACCCCTAGTACATCATCCTTATACAAAATCACACTCAAAATCTCACCTCCGTATTTAAAGGGGGTGTACTCAATTGGGATTTCTAAATAATTTTTAGATTTAAAACCACAAAGATTTTTAAAGTCTTAAAAAGTATTTAAAAATCTCAAATAAATACCCATATTTTGTGCATTACGCCATAACTAAAAAAAGTTTGACTTGGTAAGACATGAATATATATAAATAAAAATAATTTCATAATTTACCCCACAAAAAAAAAATAAAAAAAATCATAAAAGTAATTCACTTGTATTACACCAAAAAATTTAGGGTCTCGTTCAAATGGTGCTTGGGCCCAAAGAACATTTTGGGGTCCACGAGTCTCTTGTTAGATCTATCCGTTCTTTGGAGTCCACGAATTTCTTGTTAGATCCATCCGAAGCATAGTAGATAGGGAATGGAATGTCCTGATCCAGCATGTTTATAGGGAGACCAACTTTGCAGCTGACCATCTGGCGAGTTTAGCGAGTTCCTATCCTTTGGGCCTCCAGAGAGTTTCGTCACCGCCCAAGGGACTAGATGCATGGATTGATTATAATTACCGAAGCGTGGCTCAGCCGCGTAGAGTTATAGTAGCGTAGTTTTAGCCTTTGGCCTCCTTTTTTGTACCAAAAAAAAAAAAATTTAGGGTGCCATTTTTGTCTATAAATATAATACAAGTTTGAAGTGGATAATTTTATCCAAAATTATAAAAGCGGGCAACGACCTTATATTCTCAAAGCCCACTATACATAAATAGCCCACTGTCGGTTGAAGGGCCGAAATTTAGATTGCTTATTGCTGGGCCAGACATTAATTAAACCCAGGAACTGCTGAACGAACGAGATAATGTCAATGCTCACTATTCACTAGGCAGAGTAACCTTCTTTTCTTTCTTTTTTTCTTCAGAATTAAACCACGTAGAAGTGAACCTATATCTCTACAAATAAGTAAGATTGTACGGTTCCCGTTAACGGAATTATTCCGTTGGAGTTTGAAACCGCTAGATCAACTATTCCCAACGATTACACGATGATTTAACGGCTACAAACCTCGACGGAATGGTTCCATAACGGGACCGTAATATTTCCTTGTAAATATATCAACAAAACAACTTTTCTATCTTCATCAGCACAAGCTAAAACTAGGTGTTGATATTTTGCAATTTGAGGGGGACCATTAAACACACTAGTATAGTGGAACCCCAAATGAATTTTACGTACAAGCACAAGTCAACCAGAGCTCATTATTGAATGGGACCGGAGCTGCTGCTGGTGGTGGTGGTGGTGGTGGTTTCTTCTTCTTGTCATCTTTGTTTGTTATATCATTATGAAAATAAAATGGCTAAATTATTACAGCTTCAAGTCAGCGCCATTACATGAATCGACACGACAAATCGATCGTTTTCTGCGGTATTTTAGTCGGACTTTTTTCTGATCAGTCTTGTTTCAGTTTTGGAATCAAATCAAGTTACAGTTGCAGAAAAGATTGGAGGCATGATTTTTTTTTTTTAATTCAAAATCCCCACTAAAGCTTATATGGTCTCTATTTATAACTTTCCTATCTTCAAAAGGGCACTTCAATTAGGACTTCAATGCCTTGCAGGTTGTGCTTATGAAACAGTTCATTCGAAAAGGACATCACGTTTCTTTGTTCCTTTCTAGTTTCTTCTTTCTTTTTCCTCCTCCATTTACATGTTGTAGTCTTCATCTAAGTGATATGCACAAAATCTAGTAAAGAAAAACTATTTTTACCCGCTTTGAAATGAGCTAATTTTTTTTACACTGCCACCACGTACGGCGAATAGGTGAAAATAATCGATAAAGTGCGATATAATCAGTCGATAAATATGCGGCAGACCGATGAAAATAACTTATAAAGTGTTGAAATTTTTATACGATAAACTATGTGAGACAAACATGCAAAGATAATCGAGCAAGTACGAAATAATTACGAAACAACCTATGCGACAGACACGCGAAGATAGTCGAGCAAGTGCGAAATAAATATACTACGAACTATGCGACAACATGGGCGGATATAATTTATAAAGTGCAAAATATTTATGTGATAAATTATGCGATAGACATGAAAATTTAACTAAAAAAATGCGAAACAATTACGCGATATATTATGCGACAGACAGAAGAAAATAATTGAGCAGGTGCTAGTTACTTATGCGATAAACTATACGAGTGAAAGACGAGGTTAATCAAGCAAGTGTCATTTCATTATGCGATCAGTTAGGCGGAAGATAAGCTAAGTGATAATCGAGCAAGTGTGATCTCATTATACAATAAAGTAGGCGAAACACAAGCAAACTTAATTGAGCAAGTGCGATCTCATTATGCGATAAACCAGACGAAAGACATGTGATGTGATAATCGAGCAAGTGCTTTATTATACGGTAAACAAGACGAAATACAGGCGAAGTTAATCGAGCAAGTGCAAAATAATTATACGATAAACTATGCGATGGAAAGACAAAAATAATTGAGCAAGTGCAAACCCATTATACGATAACATATGCAACACATAAACTCCTGCCACCGAAAAAGACGCTCTTACTCAAAACATGAACCTCTCACCAAGTAGAGAACTTTTTCATTATTGGTACATTTTTTTTTCGAAACGATAGAATTGTATAAAAATAAAACCACGTAATTACAACTAGGAAGCAACTAAAATAGCCAAAGCAGCCAACCAGCTGAATCCAGGAGGCCTACACTGAGGTACTCAAGAATTCACTACTCTAACGCACCCACAACACAACAAACTTTACAACCTCCAAAAAGAGAATTACACGCTCCCAAGAGGAGAATACATGCTCCAAAGAAGAGAATACAATTATTGGTACACTTAATCATGATAAAAATGATAAGGAATGCGAAAGGTTGTGTTGACAATGCTATTTTTTTAATAGACCAATAGGTCAATGCTTAAAAATATAATTAGAGGATCCAAAATATGCTGGACCACAAAAGATTTTAAGTAGCCTGTTTTGTACTACTGCCTCAGCTGCATTGCTTAAAAGCGATTGGGCCTAATTTCCTTTTTTCTCAAAATTCCAAATTAGGAACACAGTACAATTAATTGATATTATCTTTTTCTATGTGAAATAACATATGGACATGATGGCAAAAGCCCATGTTATTTTTATTTTTTATTTTTTTTTTCCGAAATCATAGTTAATATTATAAATCAATATACACAAATGTGCGAAGACACAACCTCAAGCTGAATGGAACAGCCAACAGCTGAAAAAGTGAAATGACAGGTTAGAAGACCGCCTAGATTCCCGACACTAGCAAAACTAGAATAACAACACTCGCGACTACACTAAAACCAACTACACAAACAAAACAGAAACTACTAAAAAAGATCCCACCAGAATAATACTCGAGCGTCCTATCCGTAAATTATCAATAGTGCCAAAAATAACCATATATATCGACCGGAAATTAATTTCACATGCTATTTGAAATTTATTTTATTCAAAACATACTGGTAATTAATCCTGAAAAAAAAAAAAAAAATCCTAATTCCTACACCCAAAATTTCCCCATTAATGCCCTTAGCAATAAGGCGAGTGCATAAGATTTGCCATAGCTGCTTGCAACCAACAATCCTCCTCGTATTTCATCTGCCAATAACACCAAAAATAAATAAATAAATATATAGATAATCAATATAAAGTAAAAGCCAACAATATAATTGGAACAATTGTATATGTGCACATAAGCATGAGTTAATTATCAAAATACCTGCAAACAATCCTCGAAAGATAAATTATTTTGGCTCGTGTCCATCACAAGTTCGTCTTCAGAAGGTTGATCATTGTTCTTGGCAAACCGGCCACGGACACGAACACGCTTGTCCGCTAACGTTTTGCGACATGCGTACTACACTCGTACAATGACATATATATATCATCGTTAAATTAAATCAAAACAAAAAATGAAATAATGGTTTGATTTTGTGCATATTTATAATTGTTTATGTATATATGTTAATATGTACCTTGATTGTCTTGTTAAAATTCCTTTGATTTTTTTTCTTGAGGTATCTGAGAATTCTGTCCTTTTTTTCTTCAGCCGAGTACCTTCCGACCTTCACTTCACTCTCTTCTGCTTTCGTTATAATTTGATTCCCTTGTAATGACTGAGGAAAAAATAATATCATCACCATGAGACCTTAAAATTATGAAATAATAATAATAATAATAATAATAATAATAATAATAATAATAATAATAATAATAATAATAATAATAATAATAATAATAATAATAATAATAATAATAATTTACCCAATTCTGAGCAGGCATGAGTTTGTGATGAATATCATTATTGTAAGCTAGTCTTGGCACCAAGCCAATGCAATCTTCACCAGGCTCAAACACTTGATGATCATCATATTGTTGGTAATTATCAAAATTAGAAAAGCCGGTCTCGATTTCGAACATTTGCGGAACGAGCAAGCCGTCTGAGTTAGCTCCAAGAAGCTGCTGGTCTGGAAACGATGCCACTGAAACAGGGGAGCTTATGTCATAGCTCATCAATGGCGCCATGTGATTAACTGCTCCATTATTATAATTTGCATTAATAATAAGTGTGTCTGATGAGGTTTCTTCACTTGTTGGGAAGCAGCAAATATCTGTTGACAAGGAAGAATAATCTGAGGAGTAATATTGGTGAGGAATTGAAGCAGCCATTGACTATTGAATAAGATTTTTTTTATTTTTTATTTTTTGTATTACTTTATTTTAATTTTTTTATTTCTTTTTTCTTTTGGGTGGGTTGTGAAGAAACTTTATATGGTGCTGAGAAGTATTTATAGCATCAAGAATTTGATTAATTTGGGGCGGCCCCTCGTGTGTTTGTGTCTAGTCTTGTATTTGGTTCTGTTTTTCATGTTAATCATATATGGAATGTTTTAATTGTACGAGGATGTATGACGATTAACTGGTTTTGGCTCAATTTAGTTACTTTTAATTAAAATTATTTAAAATGGCCTAGACGAAGTTTCTGCGGCAAGGTTCGCCGCTTTTTTTGTCGATCCGCCATCTCCTTGTGCCGGTCGGATGTCGGCCTCTTGGCCACTCTTCCGTTGGTTCTTTTTTCAAGTTCACTGCTCCCAACTGTTCTCGTGCTGCTCGAACGGTCCTTTTCTGGGTGCTCGGGTTTGGGTTCATTCAGTGCAGCTCTTCGTGCCAGACCTCTTGGGCCCTCATCTTTCCTCCCGACCGATGACTTCAAGAGTGCAAAATTGGATTGAGATTTGCCTTCTACATTACACATCACAACAAAATGATGAAATTCTAACGGAAATATATTTCAATAGAGTTATTCCAGCGGCAATTCCAACGGATATTACTATTATTTCCGTTGGATTTTTTCAATAGATTACAACGGAAATTTCCACAAAAATATTCAGTTAGAATGGATTTTCCATTGAAATTTTCATTGGATTTTGACGTTTCCAACGATGGATTTTCCAACAAGTTGGAAATAAAAATTCCAACAGTAAAAAGCCGTTGGAAATATAGTCGTTGGAATCATCAAATTCCATCTAAAATTCCAATAAAAAACACATTCCAACGGAAAATTTCCGTTGGAACCATTCCAACGGAAGCTATACCATTGAAATATCCGTTGGAATTTCCATTAGAATATATTATCATAGAATTTTCCGTTGAAATATAACAATTTTTTTTGTAGTGCTAGCCGGGTCTTTCTTGCCGATGTTTTATGTTGGAGTTTTTAGTTCTGGGGTCGTTCTCTGTAGCTCCTTTAGTTTTGGTCGTGAGATTGTTTTGTTGCGAATTTTGGTTTTTGTGTGGCTTGTTTGTCTGCTAAAGATTGCTCGTGTTGTTTAGGGGAGGTAGTACTCTATCGTTAGTTAGGTAGTGTGTTAGTCTCCAGTGGTTGGAGTTAGCTATTCTTCGCTTGTCGGAGTAGCTAGTCTCCTCTTGTGGGAGTTTTTAGTTTTGTGTTTGGATAAGGTGTCCATCATTCTAGTTCCAGTGCATCTTGATTGTCGCTGTCGAATGCTTGGATCCCTTTTCCGGGTGTTGTAGTTTTAATTTAGGGTACTTTTTTAATGTTTCTCCATGATTCCATCTTTTTGTGGTTTCGTTATGCTATTTAGTCTCCACGCTTCATCTTGTAAGTCATCCTTTTAAGGAATACAATTTATCGTTTCGATAAAAAAATAAACATCAATTCATTTCTAATATTTATTGCTTAATTAATTCTTCATAATTAAAGGTGTTAAAGATAGTAGTAGGTGTTAATTAATTCTTCATTATTAATATACGGTAAATATAAGGTTCTAAGAGTTGGACCGTCATCGAACCAATCAAGTTATTTATTCAATGATGTATTTGTTGGACCAAAATCTAATTTATTAATATTTTAATATATATAATACTTTTTTATTAAATTTATATAAAAAAATATTAATTTAATTTATGAAAATTTTAAATGTTTAAATGTTTAAAACTGATAAATAATATATAAATTGCCATTTATTTAAATACATGCTTTTATTTTTAATAAAAATAATTTATATGTAAGAGAATTTATTTAGATAATTGTGTCGATCCTGCTAGTCCGACTGACAGGTGTTGAACTGTTAGCTAGCAAGCATTTCATTCAAGCTATGGTTCTCTGTCCATCCAGTTGAATTTTCTGTTTCGATCTGATTTTGAAAACAATGGGTAAAAATATGTAATTTATAATACAATCGTTATATTATTTTCTCGTGCATCGTTACACAAGTCAATAATCAAATAAGTCTTAAGACTTTGAATGGTTAAAAAATAAGTATTGTTTGAACTCTAACTAAACACATATGAAAAGACAAAGAGAGAACAAAAATGTTCATTTTTTTCCTCTAACGGTAACTATATTAATAACTTGAAACTAAAAAGTACAATCGATATCAATGGACACCACTGAAACAAGAAAAAAGTTTGGATCAACCCTCTTTGTAATCACATAGGTGACCAAGGGGTTACAAACTCCATAAAAGAGAAACAAACACCCTCAAAATAAAAACTCAATTAAGGAGACTAAAACTCCATAAATTAGGCTAAAGTGAGATGCAACTGGACTAAACAGACAGAATGACAACCAAAAAATAAAAAAATAAATAAATAAAAATAAAGATAAAAACAACGAACACCTAACAAACAAGTAGAATAAGACCTTTCTTAAACCTAATAGGCAAATCGCACTACCACCCAAACCGACACACAAGCCACATACCACTGCACAGAATCCCGACAGAGGTGCAAACCGAGACTTCAGGCCTAATAAATGCAGCCAAACTCAAACCGCCTAGACAGACCTTGCGAGAAGGATATTCCTAATCCAAATCTAGGCTCCAAATATCTTTAATATCGGGGCGACGCTAACGCAAATGCGATGTTATAAGTTGTCATACATTTTCTAAATAAGTATCATAATATATTTCAATGAAACAAAATAATAATAATAATAATAATAATAATAATAATAATAATAATAATAATAATAATAATAATAATAATAATACAGCAAGTTAATCATGATTAATGTGTAAAATGACTTATTTAGGTGAAGAAAAAACAGTGAGATAGAGGGAAAGAGACAAAGAGCAACCAGGAGATTGTGGGCTTCATGTGCTCAAGTTAATTATATGCGTTTTGATTTGCAGTGAAGATCTGACCTACTGCGTAGGCTGGGAATCTAAATGATACCAAAGTTCAAAAAATAAAATAATATGAAATAAAATAAAATTATACGCAACCACTTGTACATTTCATCTCAGCATTAAACATCAGTTCCTCAAGGGTGCAATTGGATATAGATATTAATTGGTCTTTTTTTTAACCATAGTTAATTTTAAAAATTGGTTGAGTTATATTTGCGTGAGATTTTGAGTTTGTATTAAAATAATATTTAAAATAAAATAATTTAAGTTAATTTGATGTAAAAGTATGAGAAAAATTATTGAAATTGATAAATAGTTAAAATTACGTAAGTGTATAAATAGTGAATTAAAATTGATGTGATGTATAATCATAATTAGTTGATATTAATTCTGTGATTTTCGCTATCCGACCTCTTTGCCTAATAAGAACATGTTGAAAATATTTAGGATAGTGAAGTTGAGTTAAAATAGACTTAAATTCACCGGCCTACAATCTTGGTCACCGAGACGGTGGTTTGGGTTATGACTACAGAGGCCCGCCAAATAGCGGGCCTAAATTTGAAACCCAATTTGATTTCATGATTTCTCATTATTCCAATTCACAAACTTTGAAACTCAGCAAAGATTGATTCCCAGCAAAGTGTGACTCCTAATTATTCCAACTTCTTGATAAAGTTCACTTCCTAGTGGCTATGTGCTCCCATTTTTTCCCCCTAATTTTTTGCCTTCTTTTATTAAATGTTTATTTTTTCATGTTTTTGATGGGCTAGCCGGTCTTGCATGCGGCATGTGGCAAGGGTGAGCCCAACTGGCCTTTTGTAGGCCCGTTAGGATGTCGGCTCTGCTTGTCAAAAGGTGGGGTTTGCCTATCAGCAGCGTCGGATTTTCATATAGGATTCCAAAATATGCATATTTGTCACTTAGGCTCAGCGTATTCGAGAATTATATCGAAGACAGATTTTCCTTAACATGATTAACTACTAGAACTTATCATAATGACCCGTCAAAGTTGTGCAATTTGACATCTAATCCCGTAGTTGTAAACAAGTTCGTGTCAAACCATTATGGTCAAAACAAGAATAGAGGACCAAAACCACCAAAAAGCAAGATTCTATTGGTTGTTGATTTGATATTATGTTTATCCGTTTTAGTCCAAACCCATTACTAGAATTATATATTATAAGTTTATAATAAAATTTATTTATAGAGGAAAATGAAAGATAAATTCCGAATGCTGTCAGGGAATAGCGATGTAGCTACTTGTGATACAAGCATTATGCTTTAATATATATATGTCTATTCTCCGCAAAAAGCAAGCCTGGAAACTTGTCCTTGTAAAAGAGAATCTAACACCTTCAAATAATTTAAATATTAGAAGTTTAGAACATTTATATATTTAATTAATGATCTTACTTCCTCTTGCAGGAGATTGTACCACGTTTGTAACGCTCCGTTATTTTTTAAGGAAAACACGAGTTATTAGAGTAAATTTTTTGGAATTATTTTTGATGTAAAATCACTTAACGCTGTTACTCAAACCATTCATTCATTTTTAGTCGGCTTAAGCCACATCTTAAGACTTTTGGGAACTCATTGCGCAATCGCATCACATAATCAACATACGAGATTTATACCACATCAATCGTAATAATCGTCAAATCAATCCCATGTTCATCAAAACCATTCAAACGTAAAGTTTGAAAAATCAATAGCGGAAGCAGTTCAAAACATATTTTATAATATTAAAATGACCACACTTGTCCGTCATTTCCCACGGTTACCAACTCAACCTGAAAAAGATGGAAATATTAGGAATGACCAAACAACAAGTTCGCTGTTGGAATTACTGTGTATATATAATCAGCATACTAA